GCTACGTTTAAAAATAGACAGACACACACAGACGGTTACAGCCCTGCTACGATATGGAAGAGCCTGGGGGAAAATCAGAACGTTAATAGCACCAACCACAGATATGTACCAACTAGCGAGAAAAGCTATTTTTGATCTTTGTCTGCAGCAGTTTTAGCGCTTTTCGGTGCACCGCTGCTGATCCAGCACCCTGTAGTGGTGCAACGCTGCAACTGCAGTTAAAATAACATCCATATAGCTGAGGGCAGAGTGAAATCAGGCTGGGGCAGCACTAAATTAGCTGGAGGAGGCCGCCACGCAAATTTGAATGCAGGAAAAACCCTGCACAGAGTAATAATTGATTCATGGTGTATTTAGTGCCAACCACAGCCCAAGGTCATGTGTCAAAGCACCTTAGTCCATACTTGTGAGAACACCTTGGCACTGGCTCTGTGCCAAGGTTTAGGCGGTTTCTTTGAACTCAAACACACTGATGTAACAGTTTTGTGTTTTCATTTATTTAACACATTCAAACTGAGTGAAAACAAAAAAAAACTATTTTTTTCAAACATAAAAACATAATGATGCCAAATTATTATTTTAAATCTGTTTTAAGAAGGCAGTGATGGGTCTGGATTAGCTGTTAGCTAATCAGTCCTGGTGGACATAAATGCTATTTCTCCAAACAGAGGCTGTTCATAGCTCAAAATAACTAGTTTTAAAGGACTTTAACCAGAACCCCCGTGTGATGCTTGGGGTTGGGGGGTAGAGGTGGAGGACGAGGAGGCGTCGCAGAAGGACCATGTGACAGGAAGGTATGGCGGGTCATAAGTTACGCTCACTAATGATGATTGATCTGAGATCCTGCACACTCGTTTCCACGGTTATACTGTTGGCCAACAGAAATGAGGATTCACAGCTGAAAAAGATTCATTCTTTTCCTAAAATGCGCTCCGAAAGCCCTCATGTCAACATTAGCTCTTCATCTGAGCGCTCCTCACGGCATCATGGATCACAGCTGTCACACAGGACGGCATCTCTGTCACAGGTGTCTCTGAGGTGATGAACGCATCGAGCATTTTATAAGCAATACCGGTTTAAATGACTTCATCTTACTAATGTACGCAGCGCTTCTATGAATCACGTCTCGTGTTAAATCAGCAGGGAGAAAAACACGCAGGAAGTTAACTTTCATCGAGGGCAGAACTTGAAAGTAATCACAGCAGCACACGGGAGCTTCCTACGGGGGGCACTAAATGAAAAGTCGATGCTTTTATGGACACGCTGATGGTGCCAAACAACAAATACAAACTCGTGTGGATGTTGAGCTACAGCCTGTCAGCTGTTCTCCTGCTTTCTCCTTTCATTTTTTTCTCGTGGTTGAGTAAAACAATCAATACCAAGGGCACATTAAGGTCTGGGTTATATACTTTATTTATATTAGGCAATGACAAATCCTCATGATGCAATGGCTTTGGACGCACATAACCCAGTGCCAAACAAATAAATATCTTAATTCCCACTGGGAAGGAGTAGAGATTGACGGAACAACGGGAAATGGCAAGGTGACAAATCCATCACTACGACCTTTTAAAACAAACGCGCCCACGATTTTGGCCACTTCCTTCTTATTCAGCATTTCAATTATTGTCCTTGCTTCTCTCCTGCTTTCCTTCCAGCTATAACTCACAGCAGGGTTCAGGAGGAGAGCCCACACTTAGCATATGGAGGGCTCGTCGGGATCAAACCGGGAGACGGACTGCCAACGACACGGGAATCTAAAACACGGCGCTACGAATCTGTAACGTTTGATACATGCAAACACACACACACACACACACACACACACACACACACACACACACACACACAACATGTTGTGTGCGTGTGTGTTTGTGTGTGTGTTTGTGTGTGTGTGTGTCGGTGGGTTTGTGGGTTGTATGAGTGATGTTGTTGCCGGCCTTTGACTTGGAAGGTTGAGGGTTTGAATCCGTGTTAACTTATGACCTGCTTTATCCTCCTGCCTCTGAAACCAGGTGAGCCTGTTTTCATTGATCAGGCTGTTTGAGGTGTTTTATGCTTTAAACTTTCCACCTGCCTCTCAGGTGCTTCTACATTAATAAATCACGTCAGAATTAGAAGAACCAGAATTGAATGGTAGGAATGTCTAAAGGAACTAAAACAGTCACCAACAAGAACCTACTGAAAGAACAGGATTTCTTATAAAGCGCCTCACAAAACCAAAAAATTTAAATATTAACTCATTCACTAAAGTCGTCATTTGCATGTTTTTACTGTGTGGGCATCGGACGAGCCCCCGCACCGTGAGAATAAACATCTCAGCTCTAAAGCCGATCTTCATCCGCGTACGTCACACGTCACGTGATCAGGAAGCAGAAAGTCCATGTGTTAGACCAGAGGTGTCGAACTCAAACTCACACAGGGCCCAAATGAAAGTCTGGGACGAAGTCGCGAGCCAAACTAAATATTTTTGGAAAAAGTGACGGCTAATTTGCACATTTTCTTTATCAACATAAATGCAATTTTGAACCTTTTCATTTGGAAACAAACTTATTTTTGAATTAACACTGAATGTGGAATAACCAAATTACACATGAGCAAGTCTGTTTTAAATAAAACGCACCAGTGGTGTTCATTACTTGTGGTATATTCAGCATTTTTAAAGTCTATTCAGGATTTATGTTTTCTTGTTGTTTGTGACTTTAATTATTCTACAGGTTTTGTTCAGCCTTCTGACATTCACGTGTCTGACTGCTGATGCTCCGTGTGTGTTTTTATTTCTGCAGTGAGACAAACTCGCCTCACACCATCCAGAGTTTATTCTTTAAAGCTTCTATTAACTCCACCGTGTTGACGTATTGAACAAGTTTCCTCTACACTGCAGGAGTTAAAGTTCACATCACGGAGTAAAAGTTTGGCAGACGCGTTGGTTTATATCTGGGTGGGGAGAGGGAGGGCTTGTGCTGCACACAGACAGCTGCTGTGATCACAATTTGCAGATCATGTTTATTTTTCACGGAGATCAGCCGCAGATTCCTCTTCCGGTCGGCATTCTAGGAATCAAAATAAAAAACTTTGAATGATTCCGGGAAAAACTAACAGTTGGTCCCAGTACCAATCGATGCTCGATGCCCAACCCTAATGAAGATGGTCAGAGATTCCTTTAAAGGAGCTCAGGATGTGCTGAAGAGGAAGCAGATAGAGGAGGAAGAGCAGACACCCCAGCACAGAGCCTTGTGGGACACCATGGGTGAGGGAGGTGGTGGAGGACCTAAACTTGGAGGCGGCCACAGAAAAGGAGCACTCAGAGAGATAAGAGGAGAACCACTCCAGAGCAGTTCCTGATAGACCTACCCAGTCTCTCAGCCTCTCCAGTAGCAGGTGATGGTCAACAGTGTCAAAGGCTGCAGTCAGGTCCAGCAGGACCAGAACAGAACAGTCCCCTGCATCACTGTGAGTCAGAAGGTCATTAGAAACCCTAAGAAGAGCTGTTTCAGTAGAATGAGCTCTATGAAAACCTGACTGGAAACACATTTTCTGAACGTGTTTCAAATCCCAGCGAAGTGAAAGTGGGGCCTGGTGAGAATCTTTGTGAAAGTGTAGAGATGCTGAAGACCTCAGACACTGTCTGGTCCATTCGGGCCTCTCTGAGAACAGACCAGGTTTGCTAAACTCTGGTAAACCTTGTTTTTGAGGAGCTACGGAGATAAATTACCGCTGAAATTTTGGAAACTCCCTGAAGGAATCATCTCCAGCACTTGAAGCCTGGTGAGGTTCTGCCCAAACCGTCCCCACAGGATTTGCTCAGAGGATACCGGCAACAGTTACATCCAAAACCCAGCAGCTGGTACTGGACCCAATCTGATGTTCTGTCCGATCCAAGATCCACGTGTAATGGGATCCCTCAAAGCTGCAGATGGATGGCAAATCTAAGCGGTTTCATCTACTAAAAGAGGACATAAATCACAGGCGGAGGAAGCGGGGATGAGGCAGGGGTTATCACCAGTCTGCCTCCCTCATGAGAGCTTTGCATTAAGGCATTAGTGAAATTAATTCATCTTTCATAAGAGGTTTGAGCAGTATCTGTGATCTATGATAACAACCAATTTCTCACTACGGAGGGGGGAGGAGAGGGAGAAAAAAAGGCTCTGTGACCCTGATAGACTACACAAATCTGCTCTTTTTAAATGGGCCAACATTATCTGGAGTGCTGCTCTCCGGAGCATCGTCCCAGATTCATACTCCGGCCGGGAAGGAGGCATATATCACCGGGAAAACTTTCTGCATCTGCTGGGCCACACACACCCACGTGTGCACACACACACACACACTCCACTCATCCTCTTTCATTCTATTACTTTATTCACAATTGTTTTAAATGTTCTTAATAAGTATTGTTTAAAGCGAAACATGCATGTGTGTGTGTGTGTGTGTGTACGCATGCGTGCACATGCATGTGTGTGTGTGTGTGCGCGAGCATGCACATGCATGTGTGTGTGTGTATGTGTGCGCGTGTACACATGCATGTGTGTGTGTGTGTGTGTGTGTGTGTGTGTTTGCATGAGAAGAAGACGGAAGTTGGGGGGAGTGTGAATCCATCTGTTTTGCATAAACGTGTGGAGACGCCCGTCGGAGCATGGTTGACGGATGAGCGGGGAGCACGGTGCTGACACACGGATGGCCGTGCACTTTATTACTATATCTGTGCAGCCATGCTCGGCTCTCCGCTCCCGTCTGAGAGCTCAGAACCCAGAAACGCAAACACGGAGGAGCGAGCCGCCCACTGCAAAGCAAGAAACACGAGCAGGACTTTCATGATTCAGATCCTCTGAAGCGATTTGTCTTCAGATCAAGAATCCATCAGCTGAGTTTCCCTCATGTTTGAATAAAAATCGTACTGTCACCTAACATTTTCTCCTGCATTCAGGAAGATAAATAAAATATGTGATGAAATACTTCATCCGTTTGATCAGCTGATTTAACTTTAATGCAGAACCAACCTCTGGAAAGTAGTCCTGTGGAAACTTCTCCTTCTCCAGGGTGGGTGTGCTTTCTAGTGTTTCGGAGCAGGTCTCCTTCCCCACCACCTTCTTAAACTTCTTGGCTAGAGATGAAAGGAAAAAGACAGAGAAAAGTGAGGTGAAAGGATCAAACCCACATTTAGACCCAAATACAATCTTTGGAGACTCTCCAGCAGCCACAGTGCCAGCTGCTCCACCTGCTGGTCAGAATAAGAAACAGCAAGAAGCCTAGAGAGAGTAACCGGTGACGTGCTGATGGGACACGTCATAGCTACGTTCGGAGTAAAAACAAGGTTGTTTGTGTTCAAGTGCAAGAATCAGTACACATCTGGGCTCTAATATGAATATAATACAAAAATACTACAAACATAAAAATTACAATCAGGCGAGCAGTTTCTCAATCTCTCCTGCACCAGGACATGACCATATATGGAGTGGTAACTAGAGTTGGGTGCTGCAGATCGGGATGAAGCAGGAAACTTTAAATAAACATTATAAAAGAATTATTGTTGATCTCAACATGAAATTACTATCCTTAATGTATTGACAATCCTCCGGCAATTATAATTGAAACTAATTTGGAGTTCAACTCATTTGGGCTTATTCCAGTCTGCAGGACAAAAACATGATGCACCAAGCATTAAAGGACTGTAGGAAGAGGTTCTGGACTTTTCCTCAGACAGACTCATGATCTGTTTAATACAGAGGCTAAATCCATCCTGGAGTCAGGTGCTGAATAACGAGCGCTACTTCAGCCAAAGTTTTGAAATCAGGGGAAATTTCTCCAAATGAAATAACCAGAGGTTGGTGAAACTGTCTGGAAAAAAAGGAGTTTCCATTTTCCAGATCTGGGAGCGTTCAACATCTTGTGCACTGCTCTGTCACAGATGCACTCCGAGTGCCTCTTTAGCGCGCTAGCCCACAGTCAGCATCGAGATGCTGAGAATGTACAAGTGTCTTTTTTTAAGGAATTATGTGACCGCCACTATGTTTTCTGTGCGTAAGTTTTAAAGTATCTGCGCACCTGCACGAGTCATTATTAACTTACTCGTGCAAATAAATAAACAAGTGGCTCTTGTAAAAACAACTGTTGAAAGGCCCAGCCAACTGTCCATAATGATTAAATGCTAGCTTTCTAACTTCTGCACACCTAAGTTATTTGAGCAATGTTTATCGGTAAAGTCTGTTATGTCCCTGTTAATCTTCCTGTTTGTCACCCAAACAAATGATGGAAATAATTTAAAGGGATGCTTTGCAAATTTTTCATATTTTTTAATCATTTTTTTGAGCCAGTTTGTGCTAAAATGACCCTTTACTGGGTTAATGAAGGCCACCCAGCCCCTATCGCCGCCTGTAGCCAGAATATCCCACTGGCAGCTTCAGACTGGCGGCGCTCTGTTGGGACTTAGAAGAAAATAGAGCTGACATACCAGGTGCAGCATGTTTCCTGCATGATTTAGATCAGGAGCACAGCTGATTTGTTTAATTTAGTGATGAACTACACCTGTAGACACTAAGGAAGGCTGGGAGACGTTCGAGCGGTTAGATTAAGGTGTTAAGACAAACGCACAGCGAGGAGATTTAGCTTTTGGTTCTACAAATGAACACTACGGGGTGCTAAAAGCAAGTCTAACTGCATCGGTCCCCTTCATCAGTTACTGACTGATGCTTGGACTGTTTTGTGTTGACCAAGTTCAACTCAGTTTATAAAGCGCCAAATCACAACAAGAGTCGTCTCAAGGACCTTCACACAGTAAACCTTCCGATACAGGTCAGGTCATTAAGCCAATCAGTAACAAGTTTCCTATATAAGGAACCCAGCAGGTTGCATCGAGTCACTGACTAGTGTCAGAGTCTTTACAGCAATCCTCATACTAAGCAAGCATGTAGCGACTGTGGAGAGGAAAACTCCCTTTTAACAGGAAGAAACCTCCAGAGGATCCTGGCTCAGTATAAGCAGCCATCCACTAGGGCTGTCGCAGTTCCCCCTGCGGTGATTCAGGGTGGCTTAATATTGCGGTGTGCGATATTATTGCAGCACTTTTTTTTATTGCAGTACTATCTAAACATAATGTTTACACATTTAAAAAAGGTTAAAAATTGCCGTGCCTTCTTTTATAACACTTTACTGAACGCAGATCAAAGGGCAGTAACAACACAGATCGCAGTAACGTTTGTTTCTCCGACAGTCGGAGTCCGACTGAATTTAAAAACAACAAAATTCAGGAGAAGGTTAAACTTTTAAATGCAAATTTGGCTGCAGCATCTAACAAATAAGAAACAAGTCTCCATTTTGTTTAGTTGTTTAAAATCGAGCATAAAAAAAAATTACATGTACTGGGCGCGGGGCACTATTATTTCACTTTCACTTTCACACACACGAATGACGGTGATTTATAGCTCAGTCACGTCCTTGTTACCCACAAGGAAAACCAGCATGTTAACCATATACGGTTTGAGAGAGGATCTGAGAGGGGTGGCAACATTTCCAGCAACACTGAAAACCCTCTCGGATGGAGCGCTCGTTGCACTAACACACACGTACTTGCGTGCGACTCTGGCGAGCAAAGGGAATCTCTCCCGGTTGTTGCTCCACCATGTCAGGGGGTTTTCTTTAGGGTGGATGCATTCCTCCTGCAGGTAGCGAGTGAGCTCCAGCTCGGCTCAAACTCTCTTCGGGACGGTTGCAGAAGCAGTGCTTGTCCGGGACTTCAGCAGGTCTCTGAGCGTTTATTATTAGTTTTTTGCCGCTGGTGGCAGCTCTAACCCGGCCAAGCACTCTGGCTGCGCAGCAGCTGACGTACTGAAAACCAAAGTGCTCCCAAAGGAGCGAAGTAACGTTTCGTTTTGATACCAGTGCAGCCATCCTTCTCAACATGCATCATTGAGTTGAAACAAGTTCAGTAATCGCGGTGGCCCATGATGCAGCGCGGTGGGTTTCTTCATATTGCGATATTTCATTTTTGCGGTTACCGTGACAGCCCTACCATCCACCACGACTCACTGGGGATGGAGAAGACAGAAAACACACACACACACACACACACACACACACACACACACACACACACACACACACACACACACACACACACACACACACACACACACACACACACACACACACACACACACACACACACACACACACACACACACACACAAATAAACAGGTAAACTAGTAGTAGCACATTCAATGTCAAAGAAAGTAAAATGTTATCATGGGAGGGAGAATGTTTCAGTGGTTAGCAGATAGGGCTGCAATGATGTTTGTCGACGTCGACATTAATTGACAATAGAAATAGTCGACAATGAATTTCATTGTTGATGCTATTGCCAGACATGTTTTTTCTGACCGAGTGAGGCATCTCACTTCATTACAATCTCTGCCAAGAGTCGCACATGCGCAATAGTGTCTCTGCTGAGCGCCAGCATACAGAATTGGCGGCGTCCAACGCAGCAGCTGCGCGTACCAAAACATATAAAGTTTGGGAGCATTTTAGCCCAGACATGGTGAATAAAAATATTACACGCAAGGTTTGCAAAGCAGTTCTTGCGTATCACGGCAGCACCTCGGTGACGCATGAACACTTGTGGAGAAAGCACGTCGGACGGTTGAATGAAACTTGAGTCTGACTCGCCTCGGTAAGATTTAAATAACATGAAAGCTTTTGAATGTTTTGTATTGGATGTACATTTCATAAGCATATTTTTGCTTTAAAAAAAAGAGAGATGTAATGTTACGCCCAACTGTGCCTGACAAAAGCATTTTGAATTAGATGCATGCAGGGACCTCTTTCCCACAATATTTTTGTTTACGGTTTTATTGCTGCTAATGTGCCTGCCCCGGTTTACAGGAAGAAAATGTTTCCTTGATTTAAATGCATTTTTTCTTATAAAACACACGTGCCTGTTCTTTAAAAAATGTATAGAGGTTTCTTTATTCATGCATTTATTTCTATACTGACCGAGCACTGTGCCTAATTGGTTTTAGACAGGGCATCGGCAGCAAAGTTCAATAAAAATGCTATTTCCATTGAAGTGCCCACTTTTCTTGTGTTTATTATCACATTCCACATAATTAAAGCAACCTCGTGCTAAATTCAAGAAAAATGTAATAGTTATCCGATTAGTCGACTAACTAACTTTCAATAGTCTGCTATTAAAATAGTCGTTAGTTGCAGCCCTAATAGCAACAGTGTTCAAGCCAATGGCCCCCTCCATGAGGCCACCACAGCTCAGCAGAACATCACCGAAGCTTCTTCTGGGGAGAAAACACTTAGGTCTGGGGCACACTGGAGACACACGCGCCAATCATGTGGTCATACAGGACGCACTGCTGAGCGCGTCTTGGAAAGAAGCGCGATAGTCACACCCCGCGGGACAGGAAGCAGAAAGTGACTCTTTTGTTTTTATGTGATCAGACTCGACGTCGTGTTCCGAGAGACCCTAAGTCATTAAAAATGGGTAAATACACTATTTATTAGAACATTTTAAGATCAATAGTACTTTAAAGTTATTGAAACTGCGGCTGGGTTTGTGCCGTAATACCTGTTGTAAAGTACTCCACAATGTTGTAAACATTATATACAGTTCAGATGTCTTGCTAGCTTCTTTTCTGTATTTGTTTTACAGTTTTCATTTTCTAGTATTTACTGCTAGACTCAGTTTTATAAAATCTGATATATATATATATATATATATATATATATATATATATATATATATATATATATATATATATACAGGTGCTGGCCAGTAAATTAGAATATCATCAAAAGGTTGAAAATATTTCAGTAATTCCATTCAAAACGTGAAACTTGTACATTATATTCATGCAATGCACACAGACCAATGTATTTCCAATGTTCATTACATTTAAATTTGATATTCATAAGTGACAACTAATGAAAACTCCAAATTTGGTATCTCAAAAAATTAGAATATTCTGAAAAGGCTGAATATAGAAGACACCTGCTGCCACTCTAATCAGCTGATTTACTCAAAACACCTGCAAAGGCCTTTAAAAGGTCCCTCAGTCTTGTTTTGAAGGCACCACAATCATGGGGAAGACTTCTGACTTAACAGCTGTCCAAAAGACAATCATTGACACCTTGCACAAGGAGGGCAAGACACAAAAGGTGATTGCTAAAGAAGCTGGCTGTTCGCAGAGCTCTGTGTCCAAGCACATTAACAGACAGGCGAAGGGACGGAAAAAATGTGGTAGAATAAAGTGTACAAGCTCTAGGGATAACCGCACCCTGCAGAGAATTGTGACGACAAACCCATTCAAAAATGTGGGGGAGATCCACAAAGAGTGGACTGCAGCTGGAGTCAGCGCTTCAAGAACCACCACGAGGAGACTCATGAAAGACATGGGATTCAGGTGTCGCATTCCGTGTGTCAAGCCACTCTTGAACAAGAAACAGCGCAAGAAGCGTCTCGCCTGGGCCAAGGACAAAAAGGACTGGACTGATGCTGAGTGGTCCAAAGTTATGTTTTCTGATGAAAGCAAGTTCTGCATTTCCTTTGGAAATCAAGGACCCAGAGTCTGGAGGAAGAGCGGAGAAGCACAGAATCCACGTTGCATGAGGTCCAGTGTAAAGTTTCCACCGTCAGTGATGGTGTGGGGTGCCATGTCATCTGCCGGTGTTGGCCCACTCTGTTTCCTGAGGTCCAGGGTCAATGCAGCCGTCTACCAGGAGGTTTTAGAGCACTTCATGCTTCCTGCTGCTGACCAACTTTATGGGGATGCAGACTTCACCTTTCAACAGGACTTGGCACCTGCACACAGTGCCAAAACCACCAGCACCTGGTTCAAGGACCATGGTATCCCTGTCCTTGATTGGCCAGCAAACTCGCCTGACCTTAACCCCATAGAAAATCTATGGGGTATTGTGAAGCGGAGGATGCAATACGCTAGACCCAACAATGCAGAGGAGCTGAAGACGACTATCAGAGCAACCTGGGCTCTCATAACACCTGAGCAGTGCCACAGAATGATCGAGTCCATGCCACGCCGCATTACTGCAGTTATTGAGGCAAAAGGAGCCCCGACTAAGTATTGAGTGCTATACATGCACATTCTTTTCATGTTCATTCTTTTCAGTTGGCCAACATTAGAGAAACAAACATTTTTTCATTGGCCTTTAGAATATTCTAATTTTCTGAGATACCAGATTTGATGTTTTCATTGGTTGTCACCTATAAATATCAAAATTAAACGTAATAAACATCGGAAATACATTGGTCTGTGTGCATTGCATGAATATAATGTACAAGTTTCACGTTTTGAATGGAATTACTGAAATATTTTCAACCTTTTGATGATATTCTAATTTACTGGCCAGCACCTGTATATATACTTTTAGAAATTCTTCTGAAGCAATAGGTAATGTCAGAGATGGGACCTTCTAGACTCCTAGAGTCAGACCCTGGTACCGTCGACCCACTCCACCCAGGTTTATCCCCAGAAGAGCCACTGGCTGTCAGCTGCCTCTCACCACCAGCTCCACAAACCAATCAGCAACAAGCAGCAGGAGGCCATGAAACCTAAACTATTTCAGCAGCGTGCACAGCTGCTTGGTGTGGATGAAACCCTCCAGTGACCTCCGCTAAAGGTCACATCCCTGTCCCTTGGGCCAGTGGAGAAGGAGAGGACAAAGCACAGGGTTGACTCCAGCGATATTCAGGAAGGCTCTGGCTGGAAGCACCTCCTTCACAGAGTTCGTTTGAGATGACTTTTAGGAACCACAACAACGTTTTGTGTTTGTTTTATCAATATGAAGAACCTTTCAAGCCCTTTTAAAGTTTTTAAGATTTTCCAGCACCTTGGTAAAAAGGTAAGTGGTCTGTATTTGTATATCGGTTCTATAGCCCCCCAAGCGCTTCACAACACAATCAGTCACACACACATTCACACACGGATGGCGATGAGCCATCAGCTGCCCTGGGTGCACTGACGGAGGCGAGGCTGCCGAGCACCGGCGCCACCGGTCCCTCAGACCACCACCAACAGGGTGGGTTAAGTGTCTTGCCCAAGGACACAAGAGCAGCATTCTCTGGCTGGGATCGAACCTACAACCTTCCGATTACTGGACAACCCGCTCTACCTGCTGAGATGCTGCTGTCTCTACCACTGTACCTCACAGTAGAACAATGGCTACGAACACTTTCAGTTCCAGTTTCAAACATCCATCCATTTTGCTCCACTTAACCCGAGGTCAGATGGCTCCTCTCGATGTGGAGGAGCACCAGGTCTACTCCGAGCCCCTCCCGGATGACCAAGCTTCTTACTCTATCTCTATGGGAGAGCCCAGCCACCCTGCACAAAAACACATCACGGCAGCTTGTATCTGCGATCTCGTTTTGGTCACTACTCAAAGCTCATGGCCATGAGGGCAGGAACGTAGATCAACCGGTAAATCGAGAGTTTCACCTTCCAGTACAGCTCTCTCTTCCCCAAGACAGACTGGCACAACGCCTGCATCGCATCACCAATCCTGACAGGTTTTGTTTCAGACATGAAATTCAATTGAAGACCCCCCCCCCCCCCCCCCCCACCCCCCATATAAATTGAAACATTTTCAAAGGTTTCAACCTTCTAAACGAAGCCTTAGCATGGACCTGTTTCCCAGAGAGAATCAGTTGTAGAGCTAGTAAAGGTGGCTTTAGAAAACGATCAGGCAAAAACATTACAGCCCGTTTGCATGTACTACATCTGGGTTGTTGCCATGAGGAGTAAACAGAGAGTTTGAAAGAATAAAACATCTAACTGTATGAGGAGCGGTCACGTCGCCTCCTGACCCCCCACCCTCGTCTTCGTCCTGTCCTTCACTGCTAGTGCTGACTTGGTGTCTAATGGGACGACAGGCGTCTCCACATCTATATCCTTTCTTTAATTAGAGGGGCTGCCCAACCCCAGGGCCCTCTGACACCCCGCGCTGATGAGACGTCTCTAACTGCCCAATAACGTCCTAACGCCCTGCTTCTCACCAAGACCGGAATTGTATGAATTAAATCCTAATATTATTAATAAGCATTACCTTCTGGCCCAGGTCCCCCGACTCATCTCCAGAGCCAATCTCAGAGAATCGTCGATATAATGGGCTGTGTGTGTGTGTGTGTGTTTGTGTGTGTGTGTGTGTGTGTGTGTGTGGGGGGGGGGGGGGGGGTGTCCCGTGTTGGAAGGGATGTCTCACCTTTGAAATCAAACTGGTGAAGGTTTTTCAAAGAATCGTGGATGAAGTAGAAACTTCCAAGAGCCTGCAAGACAAGACAGAGGGTTTAGTAAAATTCCTGCTTTCTACCAGTTTTTATCTTCGAAGGCATTTTAGGGAAAGGAGAAAAAATTAAAACTTATTAAAAATGATCCAACGAATGAATCAAAATGTCAAAATAAAAGCAGAAGCAATGAATACTGAAGTGACAGACTTATTTAAGTCACTGAATCCAGAAGCTCTGAAAAGATGAGAATGTTAAAATAATTACATCAGATAAAAATCTGTTTTTAAATACATTTAAATATTATTTAAAATTAATAAATGTCAACTCCAGCTGAAGGAATCAAACCTGAATCTGTTCAGTTTATATTTAAAAATTTATTTGAGGTTTTGGTTCAGATTTTACTGGATAAGCTAAAAAATAAAGTCTCTAATCCCACTTCCTTCAATTCTTCAAAATAAAAGTCTTAAATACTTCAAAAACACCTGAAGCTCTTAAAACTAGTTTATATGTAATAGTGCCACGTAGGTCACTAGTTAGTTACTCAGTTTGTCAGCGCAAGGAATTATGGGTATTGTGACTTATTTACTCTCAAAAGAAGAATTTTATTTGTGAGAAAGTTTGTTAATCTGTTTCCTGAGTATTTTTCTTTACTTTTGCTTTAAATTGCTCTGATTTTATTTTGGGAATCATCACTTTTGAATCTGAACAACGTGAGTTTAAAGAATTCTGTATTTGAGTTTAAATGAAGCTCCAAAGCCAAAGTCATCCTCGCTGCACTGAGACGAAAACGCTCGACGCGGATCGGAGAGCCGAGCCGGCGTCAGACCCATTCAGGTCCACACGCTGCTGCACAACAACAGGTGCCGCTGGTACAGTACACATAACCCGCTGGACTCCTCTAATGTGGCACGTCACCAATTTAAGCTTTCAAAGGACACACTCAGATGGACTTTTCAATGTGCAAAGATCTACTTCAATAGGCTTAAAATCTTAATTTTCCCAGTGAACAACCAGGAAACTTTCCCAGTCGCTGGACGAGCCAATCAAAGTGTGTGGGAAGAAGTGAGCGTGGAGCAGAGGGGATTTGATGCGGTTCACACTCCACTACCCTGCTTTCTGTTGGCCTCTTTACATTTAGGGCAAATGGAGGCAAAGCTCCAGCTCAATCCCCGTCTGAGACGGCACAGACCTCGGGCTCAGGATAAGTCTCCGTCTGTGTCCTCCCCTCCAACAGTAGAGCAGACTCACGTTCCCTCTGAGGAGTCCCGCCAAACAAATACAGGACTCAGGAGAAGTGGTGAAGTGACACGAAAGGAGGTTGTCTCTGCGTCCAGCGTTTGGGTTCTGCACTGTTTATGTGCAAAAGCACATCTTGAGATTAAACATCTGCTGGTTTGTCAAAAGCACAAACGTGCGGTTCTGCACATCTCCTTCGGCCGACATAAAGCCCGGCACACATTTAATTGATGAGAACTGCGGCTGGTGGCCCGGACCTCCGCCACGCTTCCTTCTAATTCCCTCCGTCATTCCCTCTGATGGGGGGGGTGGGTGGGTGTGTGTGTGTGTGTGTGTGTGTGTGTGTGGGGGGGGGGGGGGGGGGGGGGGGGTAAAGTCAAGGTCACAACTTCTCATAGTGAGAGGATGGATTCCAGGAAGGAACCTGGCTTAGTTTATGTAGTCCCTCACCTCAGAGACGTACAGACTTTATGCAGCTGGGGACAGAAGAGGGAAAACCAATATTCAGGCATGATTCTGTGACTTTTTGATTTCTTAATAAAAAATGTTTTAAAGTTAAAATAAAAATGTTCCTGTTAATGTTTAACTCAAGTATGAAAAAGCTGAAAAGCTTTAAATGAAAAATATTTGGTGAAGAAAAAGCAGGAGGAAGAAGATCTCTCTAAACTCCTCTGATCCTGAGCCAGCATCTCTCTGGGATCAAACGTCAGTGATGAGTCTCACTGTGGTTACGAGGTGTTCACCACACTTTTATACATCTTCAGAAACAAAGTGCACATCAGATTTTCTTCTGAGCATCTGAAGCTTCTCAGTGTCTGAAAATCCATAAGTGCAGAAAATGTGAATCAACTTTGGGAAAGGTCGGCAACAAAACACAGACGTCTGAAACAGATCGGGACTTCATCTCTACAGAGTTGTGTAAAGTTTCCAGCGTCCTCGTCGTTTCACTGAAATTATTGTGTTCTAGAACCACAAATCCACACGTGGGAGAAGTTTGACAACTTTGGATCTGCAGAAGATGTTGGAACCCAAACTGTGACTGATGACAAACAAAGAAGAAAGAACCTGAGAGCATAAGAGACCCAGTGAATCAGATTAGGACAACAGAGCCAGAAGGTCCAAAATTCTTCTTAATGACATCAAAGGACCTGGCCATAGCCGAAAACTTTCAGAGTTGTCATCAGTACAGACGTCTCACCAGAACCCACGTGTGCAGGTTCTGGTGCTAACAGATCCACTCATCTGCTGTGCTGAACAACAACAACAATAATATTCATAATAATAACAATAATATTAATAATAATTACAACTATAGAAATAATAATAACAATAATAATAATAATAATAATAATGACTATAACAACCATAATAATAATAATAATAATAATAATAATAATAATAATAACCCTGAGTCCATCTGTGGCTTTTGAACAATCACATTCATTTTTTATTTGTAATTATGTAATACAAAACCATACTGAAGGTTTAGTCTATGTGGTTGTACACCAACAGGTGAAACAGGAAAAACTAGAATCTGGTGTAAAACTTCATTTCTGTCAGTAATCCAGCCTAAAAGGTGAGACGGACTCACTCCAGGCGAATCCAGATGTTTCAGCTGTTCTAACTGTGATGATTATGGCGTACAGCTGATGAAATCCCCAAATTCAGGATCTCAGATAATCAGATTATTGTGAAAAGGTTCAACCTTCACACTCTGATCAGCTGACGAACCCAGAACAGCTGCTGAGGGTTCCTGAGCCTTTAGATGGACTCTCAGCCTGAGGCTGAGCAGGATATGAATGGACTTAGCTCCAGATTCTCATTGCTTGCTTCATCTGAGTCGTATTTTTGCCTCAGAAGGAACACCTCACAAGTCCTTGTGAATCACTGATCAAAGCAATGATAAACAACTGTCCTTAAGTGGCTAACCGTGTAATCACAAAAACCTACTTAACCCTGATAAATATTCATTAGACGCCGCGATGTGGAGCCGAGCAGCTGCTGAACTCCTTTCCTGCTCTCAGCCTGCATTCTTCATGGAGAAGCTATTATATTAGCAGGGAGCAATTAATCCATTTCTCTTCTCACACGACAGCCTGAAAATATTCATTACGGCCGGACTGCGCTGACAGGCCACGCTTATCTTCTACCAGTGGCTTTACAATAGCCTGACAAGCGTATGTTTGTCACGTCCCTCTTTATTGATTAGCTGCCAGATTCACTTGATATAATTAAAAGATTATTTTACATATTTATAAACCTGACTGCCATGGTGGCTACTTAATTTTCCATTAGTAAAATGCAGTCTATTAAGTGTTCGGTGAGGGCTGCAGGGAGGCACGGGGAATGAGTAATCACAGTAATTGTAGACAGAAAGACAATAACCGTGCCATAAAAGCTGCAGGTTTATGACTTGTTCTGGCGAGGCCATCTCTAATCACAAGTCACACTGGCTGCTTCAGATAAGGACACACCGACACCGTGCTCTGTGTGTGTGTGTGTGTGTGTGTGTGTGTGCGTGTGTGTGTGTGTGTGTGTGTGTGTGTGTGTGTTTGTGAACATATGTTTGTGTGTGTGTGTGTGTGTGTGTGTGTGTGTGTGTGTGTGTGTGTGTGTGTGTCTGACATTTCCAAAACCGCAGCAGGTTGGGGCTGAAGGAGTCCCAATAGACTGCCTGGTGGAAGATGGAGACTGAAGTACCGAGGCTGCATACTTTGGCTCCGCTGAATGCTTCATCAATACCGAAGGCTGCTAAAATCGGTCCGGCCGGGACCAGAAGCAGGAATTCTCTGACCCCTGCATAGATTTCCTGTGTTTAATGTGAAAAACGAGCTATAAAGAAAACATAAAAGTAATAATTTTCCCTCAAGGTCTCACCTCCAATCTGTGCTAAGCGAGCGTGGTCTGTCCCAGGAGGACAGCGTCCAACCTCAGAGGGTAATGAGCTACCGTTCTCCTGGATGCTGCTAAAGTTTAGAGGAAAGGTTTAACGAAGACGGCGATGAGAATGAGCCCAAATGGACCACTGCTACTGCATTCTGTAGGGTTTTTAAAATATCTCCCTCTGGTCAGTTTTCCAAATATGAACCAAAATCCTGTTTAGTTTCATCTTTCCACCAAAAGAAGAATTTTCTAAAATGACGAACCTCTTAAATCTGGTGGGAGAACGGCTGACAGGAGGGATGTAGGAGTTCAAGCAGAAGTTAGGTTAGGGCACAAACTGGAGAAACGTAACGCTAAAGCTTCATTCTCCAGAACAACGCTGTTTATATTCATGTTTGAAACATTTATGGTTTTACTGTTGGCCTAGAAGGGCTTGTGAAGTTTTCTTATTACTGATGTGATCAAAGTCATTTCAGGGACTTGTAATGTCATTTTAGCCTTTATTGTCGGATGAAAGAAGTAACAGATAAATATTAGTTTGTAAAAGTTAAAACAATAATAATATTAAGATAATCACTCAGACTAAAGTCAGGTGTCTTCTCCACCAATCATCTAACAGGTTAAAGGCATCGGCCATAGGCTAAACTCCTCTCAACATCATGTGTAAAGTATTAAAACCTCAGATGAAAAAGGTTTTTGGATTTTCACGGCTGAAATTTAAAGAAAATCTGATGTTTGTGACTAGCGGTGGAAAAACACAAACTAATTTCCGGTCTAAGCCCTGGATAGCTGGTGACGTTCCACAAGGAGATCTGCTGAAACAGCTGTAGTAAACAACCCGACTCCGGTGTTTCTGCGTTAGCGTTAGCAGAACGTGTCATCAGTCAGATGTAGCTTCTGAAGCCTCTGCTAGTCGGTCA